CTTTCTCCTCGACTTCCTTTTATTCTCTTATTATATCCTAAAAGTAGAACCTTAAAATACCTCTTACTCTGCTTTGATATCATATAGAATTTGCAGAAAAATAATAATTTTATTTCTCACCCTTTAAGTTATAACACCATATTTATAGAATCCTTAAACTACTAATTAAAAAATAATTAATTTACTAAAATGCTAATTACATAAGATTATTATTTTAATAGAATTCTAATTATATAATACCAACTAATAATTAAAATACTCAAATGATAAATTATAATGCTCAATAGTTTATTTTTGCCTTAAAAACCAAATTTAATCTTGTTGTATTTTAGGTATAATGATAATCTTGTTTATTTTTGAAATTTTGTCCTGGATTGATCATTTAGTACTTCATTTCCTAGTTTTATAATTTTAGTTTTTGGCTAGGTAATGTATGGTCTAGTGAACACAGAGGTATAAAATAGTGTCTTTAAAATTGTGAATTTTTATTATTTATTTATTTTGAATCAAAGTGCTGGGAGTTGCTTATTGCATCCATTTCCTTGAAAGATATGTTAAAATGAATTATTCAATGACTATTATTTATAGGGTTTGTAATATGCAATGTTATGTTTCTCATAAACTGTCTTTGATGGTGATGATGGATGGTTAGATACTTGTCACATTCACTGACTCAAAGATTATTGTTATTAGCAGTAAGTGTATTACTGATGTTCATACTAGATGAATAGCTCGTGATATGTAGTTTTTCAGTTAAGAACATATGATGTCCTTATTAATTTTTTTGCATGTAAGGACACAAAATCTCACCCAAGGCTTTTATTTGTCTAGTGCTCATCATCTTCATGGAATCTACAGTTAGAATTAGAGTAGTTATATTAATTTAACATAGTAGGTCAGACTAATCACATGTAATTAATTCACTCTCCAACCTGTCATATACTAATAAATTTATTGTAGTTTATGGCTAGATTATATATGTGGAGTAAAAAATGTTAGAAATATGAAGTAATATCAATCACTTAACACTAGAATGAGCTGTGGGTAGATGCATTAAACAACATCTATTCTACTTTTTCACTTCTATCTAAATATTTTCTTTTGGCTAAGCTTATGCTCCCATTTCGAAAGTAAAATTAGATAGAAAAATAGTAATTTAATTAATTTTTAATAATATGTCATACACTTAGCAACTTCGATTAATTTTAATAATAATATAAAATAATTATTATAACTTATTGAAGGTTAAATTCACATTCTTTAAAATATTAAGAACTAAAGTATTAATATATAGTAATTGCAGAGATTGATAATGATAAAATTATATCATATTTGAGAAGATTGTGTATTAATGTATGAGAATGATAGTTATTTTATTTTGATTGATATGATGATATGATTGTATATTCGGTTAAATTATTAATTTATCAGTGTCTTATTGTATTTAATATTAATAAAAAAAGACTTATTTAACTTATAATTCAGTTATTTAATTTATAAAATTATTTAAACTGTAATTTTTAATAAATGTTTTTCTTAAAATATTAAACAAATAAATTTTTTATAAAAAATAAAAAATTAAATTTCTTATAGTTAATATAAAAAATTAATTTAAAACTAGAATTTTTTTATTTATAATTATAAATTAAAAAAATATAAAAAATTATTTATTATATAATATTTATTATTATCATTTTTATTATATAAATAAAATAAATAAATAAATTTTATTGAGAAAAATTTTAAGTTTTTATAATTTTTAAATAATTAAATACTTAATATATTCAATTAACTTAATTATTTCAATTATTTTCTTATTAATACGTACTCAATTTATATATATATTTTTTAAAAATGCATAATCGCATAACTATAAGAATATTAAAAATACAATACATGTTAAATCACTCAAATTACAAATTTAACATAAATTAAACATTAAAAAACAACAACATAATTTCATATTAAACATCCACTTTCCTAATTATATATTAAAAAAATACTTAAAAACAACAACTATGATTTTTGTTTTTTCTTAATAAGGTGTTATAAACCTATAAAATTTTATAAATTTTTAGAAATGAATTATATATTTAACATTAAATAAGATTTCTAAAGAAAAAATTTATTCAAGGTTTTTTTATAAAATATGTTTATTATTATCACATGCATTTCTTAAATGAAACAATTATTTTTAAATGTATTAAAGTTAATTTTAATCATTATATTTTTAAAACTTTACAGGTGAAAAATATGAAAAAGAAAAGAAATATTTTTCCTAATTCTCTATTAAAATCTTTTTCTTATATAACAAATAATTAATTGAAATAACATTGTAAATATAAAATAATAGTAAAAAAAAATTTTGAAACCCAATTGTATATAGTGAATAATTCAATGACTAAAATAGTAATTTAACTAATTTTTAATAATTTAGCATACACGTACTAATTTTGATTAATTTTAACAACAATATAAAATGATTATTATAATTTGTTGAAGGTTAAATTCATATTATTTAAACTACTAAGAATTAAAGTAAAAATTTAATGAATTCAGTCTAAAAATGTCTTCAAGCAATTGTCCATGATTATGGATAAAAATGTAACGCCCCGTTTTTTTTTTTTCGGTGGCATTGTCTTAAATAGATTAGTATACAGAATACTCGTATCTCATTTTAAATCAATCACACACATAAAAAAAAGTATTGCAACTAATTACTCAGTTTCTTATAGAAATTCTCAACTGCAAACACATCAATATAGAAGTTTACGAATTACATAAACCCTTGTTTTTTTACATATGGTTTACACTCCTACCAAACATGTAACTATCTTGGTCTACTAGTAGTAAACCCTGCTCCATCTCCTCTATATGCTAGGTTCGGAAACCTGCAACTCCGATCCCGTCTCCAGTCCTACTTCATCTCTAAGTAATAGAGAATGAGTTCATATAACTCATTATAGTAAATTTAAATCTCAAATATAGTATAAAAATCCAATCACAAACCTATTCTTTTATGTTTCATTTCTTGTTACCTTGGTCATGCTTTCTTCCTACCCCCAACCCCAATACTACTCATCTACCTCTATTGTACTATCACGTCTAGGTGTGGTCACCCCCTGATACCCTTCCCTCGGCCCTGACCTGACCACTCACCCACACTGTAACCCCCATCTGTCACTAGTATCGGCTCTACCCCTAATTTGCTACCCACCCGCGCAACATTACTGTTTTCTTTCGTCACCAACATCGGCGACCACTCGACACCAATCTGACAACTCGCAGGCATCACCACTATTATCGATCGACTTACCATTTCTAAGTGACGACAACCAGTATCGGCGTCCCTCCCTCCATAACCAACGCTACTGTAACACCCATTAATTTTATCATTATTATTATTATTATTATTATTATTATTATTAATTTTTAATTAATTTTATTTAGTTTATTTTAATTTAATTTATTAAAAATAAAAATGATAATAATAATAAAATTGGGTAAAAATATTATTTGGATTTAATGAATGATTTGGAAAAAGGGTGAAATTGGATCTGGGGGTATTTTGAAAGAAATCGAA